TAGCCAGCCACTGGAATCAAATGAAGGCTTTTAACATAACACACTATATGCATGTGCTGCTTACACACTAACCTATGGTTTTGCTCCTAATTTTAAGGATATGCTATATTTCCAGGCGGCTATTTTTCATAAGGATGTCTTCATCTTTTCCCCAAGTTTCTCAGATGTTTGCTTTACATAAAGATAAATACTGACAAAGAGGTAAAGCAGAGAGAACAAAATGATGTTTTCAATGTCAGGTTGTAAGGGGGTTAGAAATAAGATTGGTCCCAATACAGGCATTGCTTTTCTGGCATCATGTAGTCCTCATCACAGAAAATTCACATAGTTCTATCTTCATTCATCCTTCTCAGGGATTTTATTTATACTTTCCTCCCTACAGACAGCACTCATATTTATTTTATTAAAATTTCTATGAACTGTTTCTTTTTCATCTGCTTAGAAAATTAAGGAAAATTTATTAGCTGATTCTATGTAAATTGCTTTAGTTCAGTTTTCATTGAGGATAAATTTGTTTTGAATATCTGTTATGACAATTATATACAGCTACATTTTCAACCCTAATGCATTTTTAATAACTTCCTTCAGCAGCTAGTGATTTGAATTTCAAATTCCTTTCTACCAAGAAGTAAAAAAAAAAAAGTATATACCATTTTATAGCAGTTTCATATAAAAATTGATTTATGCGGCAAGATCTCTCACAGTAAACATATCAAATGTCTAAATGGGACCATTAATACTCATAAGCTTTACAATATGTATGTTCCAGATAGAGCACAGCACAAAGTTAAAGTTGGCCAAGAAATAATTCCATCCTTAGTCCCTCACTAAGGGATATATTTCATTCATTTGGTTGATTTAGTCCCTCACTAAAGCTGGACATATTTCATTCACTTGATTGATTATTTTGATTGATTGCTATTGAGCGCTAGAGCAGATTTTAGGGCATATCAAAATAACTGACTCATCATAATTTTAATGTACTTAATAATTAATAAATAGAACAATTGGAGAAATTCACACAAGTCTCTTTTAAGCTATCTTGAAAAATGAATTTTTTTTTCAATTCTGGGGATCCAATATCTGAACTGAAAATTAATTGCTCAAAGGAGAAGAAAGATTTTTAAATATGTTAACCTTTTTCATAAAGAGATCTCCCTTTATTTACCTGACCATCAGAGGGAGCTAAGAAATTTATAGATTTCCAAAAAAAAAAAAAAAGGATTCAAGATTCTACAGATGGAAGAAGCCATGGGAAATGATAGTTCACTCTTGATTTTGCAGAAGCAAAAGTACATGTATGTCAGGATAAAAATCACAAACATTTGTGATTGCTATTTTGCCTCAATGGCTGGTTGTTTAGGACTTGGACGAATTAAGACCATCTGACCTCTGGAGTGGTGTCCTCATCAAGAGGGGAAGCCTCAGGGAAAAGCGGGACACACAGCCTCTGATATTGTCTTCTCTTCTTTTTCCTATTTTCAAATGTCAGTATTCTTCAGAGTTTTCTTTTTGGTAACATAAATAATTCTCTCTTTAGAATCGTTAAAAATTTCAATTGGAAGTTCCAGTTAAACATTCTTGATAATTACTATGAATTTTACTGTTTTAATATTTATTCTACTTGGCATTTCCTTTCAAGTGCCACTTTTCATAATTTTCTATCATTTTTTGGATTAGCTTTTTTTTGGGGGGGGGGTCAAGTGTCAACTTTTTTGTTTTGGAACTCTTGTTAAACTTAGAATTGAAATACTTGTAAAACACCCTGAATGTGACCATAAGGCTGGTACCAAAGCCCACATCTTTTAGAGGAAAGAGTTTTACTTTGCATTGATTAAGCCTTCACAGAGAGGCATTAATAATACACCCACGTTAACATCACCTGGGCATCTGCACCACAGTCTGGCTGCAGCTCTGTTTAATGAAAACATCTATCTGAATGTACCATAAAGATACCTAATCTAACATGCCAAGGATGCCTTCTCTTCACCACTGACAACACCTCCTCCGCACAGGATCCCTGTCTCTGTAACAGCATGACCTCTCATCTGTCACCCAGTCTGGAAGAGACAGCAACACATCCTCCTCTCTCTTCCATTTCTCCTACATCCAATCGGTGAAGGCTTGGGAATTTTACTCAAAGCTTGCTCTTCTAGTCTTTCCTATGTTCATGAATCACACCATCCTCTTCTCTCTTGCTCAAGCCCAAACTCAGGAATCTCCATAAGTCCTACCTGCCTTTCACTCACACTCCACATCTACTCCTGACGTACATCAATGTTCACCAACCATATCCAAAATGCTTTCTACCAACCTCAGCTCCAGCACTAACATCTGTACCCAAGCCACCATCCCATCTAGCCTAGACTAATAATGGCTAACGTTTACCACAATTTACTATATGCCAAGTGAGTAGTTACATACTTAGCTATAAAATGGAATTCATTAATAGAATCTTGTTATATTTAATCTCATTAAATGCCTATAGTACCATTTTATTCCCTACCATAACCCTTTTTGCATTATAATCTGTTAAAGTATCATAATCTTTATCTGTCAGAGGAGAAAAGTTAAGTACATGGAAGTTAAATAGCGTATGCAAGTTCACACAGCTCTTAAATATGGAAGCTAGATTCCAGAACCTACAATCTTACCCACTGTGTACTGTTGTTAAAATGTTTTTATTCCAGCTCTATTATTGAGATACAACTGGCATATAACATTATGTAAGTTTAAGGCATATTATGTGATCTTTTGATACATGTGTAAATTATGAAATGATTACTAAAACAAGGTTAGTCAGCATCTCCATCATGACTGGTTAGAGGGTAAGATGAGTAAGTTCTGGACACTTAATGTACAGCATGGTAACTATAGTTAATGATATTGTATTATATACTTGAAAGTCGGTAAGAGAATCAATCTTAGATGTTCTTATCACACACACACACACACACACACAAATGATTAAGATTCTTGATCTTTCTCAACAATCTATTTTCCAGGATGATCTGTCTCCTTCTTGAGGATTGTACCCCAGTCATGAGTGCATAGACTCTAGATATATTGGCTGGACAGTATCCAGCCAGCATTCACTGCCATTGACCAGTGGGCAATTCCTCTGACAAGGAATCCAGAGTATCCAGTATGCTCAGTCTCTCAAAATTTTACTCAAAAACTAAAGTTCACAGACTCATATCTCACAACTTTGCAGTTTTTCAATACATAGTTAAACATTTATTAACTATTTAATTATTTAAATAAATAAATATTTATTAAATAATACAGCAAAATGAAGTTTTTAAAATATTGCCATGATCATAACCATAATACAAAATACCAGTGTAACTTGGGACTTCATATAATTAGAATAGGTACCACTGTGCTAGTTGCTCCTTGATATCCTATCTCAAATGGTCTTCAAAAGAGACACAATATGTACTCATGAGAAAATCAAACTCTCATGAGCTAGTAAGTGGCTGGACAGGAACTTGAACTTGGATTCTCTGCCAGTAAGTTGACATTAATATATAGAATATCTCATAGAGAGTTAAATTCAAATGTTAAGCCCTAATGGTTGTCAAGTATTTATGTAATAGAACTGGTTAGTACATTACTGTAGAAAAATCTATTTTTTTAATAAATTTTATTTTTTAGAGCAGTTTTAGGTTCACAATACTGAGGAAAAGGTACAGAGATTTCCCTACAACCCCTGCCTCTACACATGCACAGCCACCCCCATCATCCACATCCCACACCCGAGTGGGACATTTGCTTTCAACTGACAAATCTCCTTTGATAAAACATAATCACCCAAAGTCCATATTTTACAGTAAGTTTCACTCTCAGTGTTGTACATTTTATGAGTTTGGACAAATTTCTTTTTTTTTTTTAATTTTTATTTATTTATGATAGTCACAGAGAGAGAGAGAGAGAGGCAGAGACACAGGCAGAGGGAGAAGCAGGCTCCATGCACCGGGAGCCCGATGTGGGATTTGATCTTGAGTCTCCAGGATCGCGCCCTGGGCCAAAGGCAGGCGCCAAACCGCTGCGCCACCCAGGGATCCCTTGGACAAATTTCTAATGACATACATCCACCATTTGGGTGTCATAAAGTATAGTTTCACAGTCCTGAAAGTCCTCTCTGCTATATCTATTTATCACTCCCACCCCCAAACCCTGGCAAGCACTCTATTTTAATAAAAGGAGGAACGAGGAACTGGACTACTTATCACATAAAATAAAGTCCACAAAATCCTTACATTATTCAGGGTGACTTACTCAGTGTTACCGACCATGAGAAAATAAATCATATCCTGGGCTTATTGAGGCATTTTATCAACAAAAAATACCACTTCACAATTCAGAGTTCTGGCCATGAATTCTCCAGGTAATTATCCAATACTTAGCTGCAATTTGATGTTATCACCAAAGACAACATTAGATGGCATATTTTAATGTCTTTCTAGGGTTATATCCTACATAGTTTTAATTCTTTGTAAATTGATATTTCATTCATAGAATGTGCGGCCACATCCTACACATCAGCATAGTTGATGAGCCTTTCTTACCAAAGCTATAAACAGCAACTACTACGCACATTAGTGGAATCATTAGTGCGGTTAACACCAGCCTCCAAAGCTTTATCTCCTAAATATTGCCCACAGCTTAAATCAAAGTAACAAATGCACAATTAACCTGAACAGAGAGAAAATGTCTACTCAGCACGTTGGGAAATGATGTAGTTGAATTATGAGTCATCTCATTTCGCAAAGTAGCCATAAAAATGAGTCTTTCATTTTGCAAACGTACCACTGGCATTTACAGCAGATGATTAAAATAAAGCAGAAAAATAACTTTTGCATTTTATCAGAACAGGGACATTTTATCCTGGTCATGCATTTTTGCCTCTGCGGATTTCATCTATCAAAAGAAATGTCTCTATGAGTAGATGCCAAGGGTCCACTTATTCCCTAGCGATTCCGAACACTGTGACTTACCTTATGAAAGTTTCTGAAATACGCTGCCTTTTCATCTGGAAATTTTTCTAGCCTTCTGGGTCCTTTACTGGAAGCCTTCTTGAAAACCAACCAGCATCGTCTGAAAATCTGAAAGCAAATGAAGGAATCTGATCATCTATCTTTTTACATGAGTTTTGTAACGCCAGGAATTTATCTATTCAATTAATCCATTGAAAATAAAAATTCTTTAATGTACTTACAGAGAGAACAGTTCTTGAGTCCTAACCAGGTTATTCATTAAAATTATGGCAAACTTTTAATAACACAATATTTAATATAAAAACGACTTTTGTGAAAAGATTTTATGGTACGAAGTTCTCAATGTGCTGGCTTCAATGGTCTTTAATCTAATTAAATCATCTGAGGTCAATACAGATGAAATATTTATCTCAGTATGCCAGTGACAGAAAAATTCTGTTTTCCATGATAATGCAGTCACTATTTAAAAGATCAAGCACTTGTATAATGCTCAATTTTCTATCTTTCACAAATCACCACATTTTACAATTTACTCATCTTATAGGATTAATATACTCCAAAAGAACAAATGCTCATATATTAATTTAGAAAACAGAAAGATATGTGTTTTTATAATGGAAAAATCTGCCTTCCCTTTTATACTTTCTAGTAACTAGCACTTGTTAAATGCTTATTATACATAATACACCTAAAATTTTATATACACATTTAATCCCCCAAACTACTACATGAGGTAGTTTATCTCCATTTTAAGATAAAGACAGTGACAGTGTCAGGATTTGAACACACCTCTGTCTGATTCCAGCTTTAGTAAAAAAATAAATAAATAAAAAGCAGAACCATTAATTCTACACACACAAACCATTATTCCTGGACTTTGCCCTTATTTCAAAGGACTAATTAATAAAGGACCTTGAGTTGATGTCCCCTCTGTCAGCCACCCACCCCAGGTATGTTTAAGACAAAAATAATAAAATGAATCTTCTTTCGGTAATTGGAAAGGTCTAGAAATGCAAACTGGCCACAATTTTAAATTTCAATATTTAGCACAGTTTTGTTGGAGTATACACTCTCTGTAGCCATAAACAAATGCACCGAAGGAAAACTCACAGACCTTGATCATTGTATTTCTCTCTTCCATTTCTTTATTCAAACTGCAAAGTTGCTATACTATGGCTTTTTCTTTTTTCCATCTTTCCTTCCTTCCTTCCTTCCTTCCTTCCTTCCTTCCTTCCTTTCTCTCTCTCTCTCTCTCTCTCTCTCTTTCTTTTTCACTAATACTGGCCAGATAAATAACTTCTTTGGAGCATTCATTGTTCATTACTCACTAGAAGACAGTGTTTCCCATGTTAAAAAGCACTCTAAGAGTAATTATATAGAAGACTTCTCATTGAGGTACCTGGGTGGCTCAGTGGTTGAGTGTCTGCCTTCTGCTCAGGGTGTGATCCTGGGGCCCTGGGATCCAGTTTCACATCAGGCTCCCTGCAGGGAGGCTGTTTCTCCCTCTGCCTATGTCTCTGCCTCTCTCTCTCTGTGTCTCTCATAAATAAATAAATTAAACTAAAAAAAAAAAAAAAGACTTTCCGTAAAATCAGTAAACAGAGTAACAGTGCACGCACTTTCACTTTACTCCTGCTACCTTTCTTAGCTTCTCCCCATTAGCTTTGAAAAGCATCTGAAGGATGACCCTGAGCTTTGGCTCACATCTGTGTGTCTCTCCTTCTCTACCTGGTTTGAGATCCGACTCCTCTGCCATGATTCCTACCCACATACACTTGGAAGTAAAGGGTTAAATTATTCCCTCAGATGTCCTGGCGTTCTTCCTCCACACTTGTGTTTATTTATTTTTTTAAGATTTCATTTATTTTTTAAAGATTTTTAAAACCCAGGCATCCTCACACTTGGGTTTAGCACACTGTGTTCTAATTAGTGATTTACTAGTTGGTCCCTTACTGAGCTCCACCCTCACAGTAAAATACGATAAAAGAATTGTGAATACTAATTACAATATAACATCAGCATATGGTTTAACTTTAACTCAATTCTACATGGTTTTTTTTAGCATTATAGATTCCCCTTTTTAAGCTTTAAAAAGATATTTATATTTTAAGTAAATTTAAGGTAATAAATTTAGAAAATGCAAACATAGGAAAAGGCAGCTCGGTACAATGAAAAATTAATAAAGCTTGGTGTTGGTTTGCAAATTTAGGAGTTCGCTGAGTGAAATGTGAAACTGGCCTATTTACATAGAGGGCAAGGAAATACCCAAGAATGAGGCAGGCCCCCATCCCCCCAGATTGGTAGCTAGTAAGTTTAATGAGCAAGGGAATTCACATACAGGACTTCTCTTGGGCGGCCACAAGACAAGCACATCTCAGCACCCTCCCATCAAATCTTAAAAGTTGACATTGAGAAGCCTTAATGGGGTTCAGTCACACATTTAGTCCAGATGATCTCAACAACACATTGCTCTCTTAAGATTATGTGCTTGAAACGTCTCTATCTACAAGTAGGGTGGGTGGAAGGTACCTTCCAAGAATGAGAGAGGGTGAGGTCCAGCTCTCAGGTCAAATGGTGATAATGTCCTCAAAATGACCTTACCCAACATTTTGGAACCTAACAGGTAGATTTACATTATGGCTTTGCCATTTTATAGCTGTGCAACCTTAGACAAATTATTTGATGTCTCATAATAAAGGATACCTCCTAGGACAGAGGGAAGAGTCCACAAGATGAGTCCACATCCTTGTGCACAGTAGGTTCTTCCTAAGGTCAGCTCCTCTCTCAGGCTCCTTTAACTTACATAGTAGGTGCAATTTGCCATGCATGACAAAGTCATTTGTAAGGACACTTTTTTACTAATGACACATAATTCTAACAAAATTCAGATCCAGAATACTCAGATCCAACATTCTACAGCCAGAACAATTAGAACCATGATATAAAAATATTTAAAAATAAATAAAAAATAAATATATTGATGATCTCTGAAACTCAGACTGTGGGACCAGAAAGACTGGACTTGGAATTCCAGCTCAGCCCCTTGTGAGAGCCATGTGACTCTGGGCAAGTCACTGAACCCTCTGAGCATGCCTCCTTCTCTTAGTTTGCATAAAGTAAAATAATGCCTATATCATAGCATTACCGTGACAGTGAATAGAAACAAAATATACAAAGCTCATGCCTCTGTAAGGCTACAGAGGAGTCATGAACTAACAGAAGGTAGTACAACGCAAAACAGATAAAACACTCTTAGCGGCAGACTTTGTTCAGCACATCCATAGCCATTATGGAATTTACATACATTGTAAAAAAATCATTGCTTGTACCAATATATTTTTAAAGGTTTCAAATAATTCTGATAATTATGACAATTATATTATATATACTATTAACAGACAAACTTGTCTAAATACTCTGTTGAATGTAAGTGATTTCCTGTTAATTCCTCAATGGTTTGGATATTCTTAACCAATATGGCAATGTACATGTATTAATACACAGCTAAAAAAGAAAAACAGAAAAAAATGCATAAGTTTACTCTCCTCCTAAAATTTCTCTTTCCACAATACAGTGTGAATCAATTTTTGCCCAGGGTGAATCATTTCAACTCAGTCATTAGTATAAATCCCACACATTTGTATCAATTGAGGGTATTCTAATGCCTAAGAATATAGAATATAGTTTTTCAGCCAGAACAACTTGATTTTCAATGCACATTCTGCTATGTTGTAAATGCCTTGTCTTGCAGAAGTTATTTTAACTTCTCCAAGACCTAACTTCCTCCTCTATAAATTCAGATCAGTATATCTCATGAAGTTGCTCTTTGAGGACTTAATAAGACAGCACACAGAAAATATCTAATGTATGTGTTTGAAGCATAGTCCTCACACTCATCTAAAACTCCTGGGTTTTGAGCACTGCAATGGATTAAATCGTGTTCCTCCTAAACTCTCATGTTGGATTCCTCACCTCCAATGTGATGATATTTGGAGATGGGGCTCTGAGATGGAAGGTTTAGATGAGGTCATGAGAGTGGGGCCCTCAGGTTGGGATAAGTGTCCTTGTAAAAAGAAACCCCAGAGAGCTTGCTTGATCTTTCCCTGTGCTCCTACACATACAAAAGAAGTCACGGGAGCATACAGATGAGCTGGTGGCCATCAGCAAGTCAGGAAGAGGGTTCTCCCAAAAACCTGACCATGCTGGCACCTTGATTTTGGATTTCTAACCTCTAGAACTGTGAGAAAATAAATGTCTTTTGTTTAAGCCACTGAATCGATGGTATTTTGTCATGGTAGCCCAAGCTAACCAAGAAACATACTTTTGATTTTGTTATTATTAGCAGAAATAGTGGATATAGTTGTGATAGTAGTAATAGTATTGTAAAGGAGTGAAAAAAGTTACATGAATCTGAGTAGAAATGTGAGGATCTGGGACATATAAATAAAAATATAATTTGCAAAGTAGAATGTGTATAGATTTTCAATACTTATCTCCTATTTATTAATGGATTTAGAATCCTAGTTGAGGTAGAAAGACCCTCTTTGAATGGAATTGAGACCAGATCCCTGGTTAAAAGGTTTCAGTTCATTCCTACAGAAGAATGCTTTCCCCTATGCTTTTGCACTTTATTGCTCATAGCTCAGGAACCATAATCATGTCAGATGAAAACTTATAATAATCATGGAACTACAGAAACACACTCACTGACTAATGACCATCCTGTGTGACTATAGTTATTTTCTATTAAAATGTCAAAATGAGTTAAATATAAGTTGGAAAGCATAAGTGTTTCCACTTTGGCACTCAGTATTACTATGAAATAAATCTGATAATGGTTAATAAGAAAAAGAGTGGGTATTTTCATTAATATATTATCTATTTGCTATTACATTAAGAGAGGTAACCACATAAAGAAAAGAATTATTGTTGAAGATTTGATTTAATAGCCTATTTACCAAGCAGAGACCCTCAAATTATTAGTTTCTTATTTTGAAATAAGAAAACTATGGTTTTGGTTTTTTAGATTTATAAAACAGTTGCAAAATAGTGCAGAGAGGTTCTAAATAGACTTTACCCAGCTACCGCTAATATTAATATTCTAAATA